ACTCGTTATAACTGAGGTATGCAAAAGAGCACCTCTGAATGCACAACACATCAAACCATGAAGCAGATGGACTACAGCAGCAGAAGACCACACCGGGTGCCTCTCCTGTCAGCTAAGAACGGGAAACCGAGGCTACGATTCACAAAGGCTCGCAAAACTGGACAACAGAAGATTGGAAAAAAGTTACTCGGTCTAATGAGTCTCAAATTCTGCTGCGAAATTCGGATAGTAGGGTCTGAATTTGGGGTAAATAACATGAAAGCATGGATCCATCCTGCCCAGTATCAACGGTTCAGGCTGCTGGTGGTGGTGTAATGGTGTGGGGGATATTTTCCTGCCACACTTTGGGCCCCTTAGCGCCAAGTGAGCATCATTTAAATGCCACAGCCTACCTGAACCATGTCCATCTCTTTACGACCACAGTGTACTCATCTATTGCATGGCTACTTTCAGCAAGATAACGGACCATGTCACAAAGCTCAGATCATCTCAAACCGGTTTCTTGAACGTGACAATGAATCCACTGTACTCCAATGGCCTCCACAGTCGCCAGATCTCAATCCAGTACAGCACCTTTGGGATGTGCGGGAACAGGTTTGCATCAAGGATGAGCAGCCAACACCTTGTTTCCAGCACCTTGTTGAATCTATGCCACAAAGAATAAGGGAATTCTGGAGACAAAAGGGTCCAACCCGGTACGAGCAAGGCGTATCTATAAAGTGGGCGGTGTGTGTAGAAGCATCTTGGTTGGAGGGCGGAGGGGCAGTTGGGGGTGATGTGGGTTGCACTTAAGGGGCCTTCCCAGGTTCATTTGATTTACCTTGTTCCAGCACAGATATGGGTATAGTAACACTACAGTTTATTAGTTCAGCATAAAATGTACAATTCCATTGGCTTTAATTTACACGGAATTGACGTTAATAAGCAAAATCACGGTGCATATTGTGGCAAGGCTTACTCCCAAACCACCCAACCAAATCACTTAATTCTTTTTCCCCTGTTAGATATATGTCATATCTATGCAATCACCTGAGAATTTTTCTATATATTATGTATTTATTTTTTTTGTGTGCTTTTTCTAAAAAAATTCCTCAAATGGGTCAGTTGGATGACACATGCACTCCCATGAAATTGATGCCTTTGCCTCTATCAGAAAAGGCCGATGTGGTTGCGTGCAGAAATAACCAACAAGTCTACAGTCAAAATTTGAGGCAATTTGGTTGAAAAATAAAAAAAGTTATCAGCGCCACAAGCGTTGAAAGTCACCAGATTTTAGCTGACTTATAAAATTATTTGAGGTGGGAAAGCTTCAAAAAAAAAAGTAATTTTTTCACAAAATTGATGAAATTAATGACCAAATGTTTTGATTTTGTTAAAGTACACATCTCAGTGAACCTTAAAAGGAAAAAAAGAGGAAAAAAAAAAAAAAAAATCATTTTGAACCTGGAAGGGCCCCTTAACCATCCAACCTCAAAATACTTCTTGATATGAAACTACGAAGCACTGGATGCCAGCCAATGCCCCTCACCTCCCCCCTCCCCCAAATTACCCTGCCTACATTCCTTATGAAAGGCAAATAAATGTCCCAAGGCCTAAGAGATAGACGTATAGTCGAAACCATGCGTGTTTGAATTGCGTTAGTGAGGGAGATGCTGAAAAATACTTCTCTCGGCCAGTGCTCTCTAAGAACACAGCCTGCAGGGCCTTCAGTTCATTTCACACTGGCCAGCCTCCAGCACATTACATAACTAAGTCTGCTCTTATGCTGTTCATAAGGTTCTGCTGACTAATGCTTTTCTGCATGGAAATGGAGCCACGATGATGAAAGTACATGATCCGAATAGAAAAGGCACTTTTACCCCTCTGTGCAGAATAGACGCCAGGGTCTACAAAATGCCGAAATTTAAATGCTGAATAATTCCAAAATCAAATTTCCAAATGAGACATGGGTCTTGCTTCATTAAAATAATTTCTCCAATCTCTGTGATACAAATCCTAAGATACAAAGCCTTAAATAGGGTCATGCACGAAAAGCAAGGATTGGCTTGATTTGGCATTTTCTTAGACGGTTTAATAATGTTAATATTCAGATGATGTTGTATTCTCAAAAAACAGCATAGGTTGGGGACAGAGGGCAATTATATCGATTACAGGAATAAGAAGAAGCTAATTATACAGACAGCGACCTCAAGCAGTAGCCGATAGTCAAAACAGGTGTTTAAGGAGTGTTAGGAACTTTAACATTTTTTTAAATTTCAAACCTGAGGCCAGCACTCCCTGGAAATTTTGTTTAAAGGCACCGCATCACAAAACATGTTTACAGAGCTGCCACTTAACTGCACAGAAAAAATCCCATAACAGCTAGTGACGCTTCGGTCCATGTTTCAAATTTTGGAAGGATTTGGGCTTTACTCAGTGTAGTCATCCAGCCAACTCAGTAATCCTGCACTGTGATACACGCCATAGTCTGGAGTAATATTTTCAAGGAGATGTGTGGCCCTGACTGGGACTCAGCTGAGAAGGGCAAAAGTCACAGTTTCCAAATTGTTGCGCCAATGGCAACGCTGGCAACAGAATTTAGAACATACTACAATTTTATGGCAAGTTTGTCGGGAATGTCATTTGGCAAGAAACAACTGTGCCACAGGCCATAGTGTACATAGGATGGTTAATGTCTGCAGTAAAATAATTGGCATGGATCAGGAAACTCTGCAGGATATGTACAACAAAAGGGTGTACAACAAAACAAAATCCATCTTGTCTGACAGCTCCCAACCACTATATCAACAATTCGAGCTTCTTCCTTCAGGTTCCCTTTTCAGACTCCCACCTATCAAAACCAACAGATACAAACAATCCTTTATTCCCACTGCTGTCTCCCTCCTCAACTCTGAGAGGAAGAAGTAACTAATTGCACAGCACTGTTTAATCACAGAGCACTTTATCAGCACAGTGTGATCATTTTTGTTAATTATTTATTGCTTTTAGAACTATTGCATTAGATTCCTTATACCTATCGTTTACTCAGTGTGTCTTTTACCTGTATTCAGTGTTTTTTTTTTTTTAAATCTGTATTATCGACATGTGTGTTTTATCTGTATTATCATCATCTGTGTTTCATGTTGTGGGATTTTTTTGTTTTTTTAATGCTCCTCCACTGTTGCAATTGAATTTCCCCATTGGGGGACAAATAAAGTTATTATTGATTGATTGTAACCAATAGGCTTTAGCGTGTAACGTTCCAAAGACAGGGAATTTCACAGCTTCACCACGGGGTTTAGAGACACTTCAAGAGATTGTAAGACTGGTCAATTTACCCTCGGATGATATCCAAGTTACTGACTCGGGCTTGGGGGCAGGCCAGAAAACAATTGATATCCATAATGGGAGAGTTATATTTGGCTATGCTGTTTTTTTCTGGTACTACTTAATGAATTGATACAAGTCAAGAATATGCTAGAATTTATCAACAGTGCTGCTTTTGTTCTGATGAATGTGACAAAAGAATCAAGACTTTGAACTCGTATCAAATGGCATCAGCACTCACTTGGCATTGCGAAATAGGACATAAAACGCTGGAAGAAGCTCTTGCAAGGATCTGGAAAGGCGAGGGTCCCAAACTCTGACACCATGATACGGTTGCGCTCAGCGTTGGCCTTGTAACTGTCGCTGCGCAGGAAACGGCTCCTGTAGCTCACCTGACCGCCCTCTATCTTGAATTGGTGAAGAAGGGCCATTCCATCAAACCAGTGATTGTAGCTGGGGGAAGCAGAGTTGTCAGTCTTGTCAGCAATATCAACTCAAATGCATTCATGTAACCTCCACAAAACACTTGAGTATGCTTTCCCACATTCTCAAGTCAAAACCTGGAGTGACAGGGACAAGAATACGACTCAAGGACAACACATGGGACAAAAACTTGAGAAAAAGGATGTAGGTTCATAGAGACCTAAAACAAACAGGCAATCAGAGATGGCAGACTTCACCCCATTCACGCAAATATTGGCAAGTGCGGAAACACAAACAAACAAACACACAGAACCGCTAAAAACAGCACTTCACGCCCACTCCGTGGGGTGAAGTAAAAAGAGGTATTAAAGAACCAATAATGCATGGCAGGTTAGTTCAGTGGTGGGTTGCCTGACTGGGAACAGCAGATTTGAGGCCCGGGACTGCGACTTACATCTGGAGAGATGCAATTCGGTCCATACTGTTGGGTCCTTGAGCAAGGCCCTTCACCCAAAAACTACTCCAGGAATTTTAGTCCTCTTTTCTCACTCACCCATCTTGAATCTGTCATTGCCCTAAGGGCATCCTTGAAAAAGAAAATCCTGTTTTCAATGGAACTTTGCTGGTTGAACAAAGGCTTAATAAAGTAAAAAATGTAAATAAAACTAACAGAAGGTGCTTTATTTTCAGGTTCTAAGGGCAGCTTAGTTGGGTAAATATAAATATTAGGACAATGAAGGCCACATGTGCCAAATCCTTGCAATAAGATACCACAACAACAGCTTAGCAGAGCCACAGTACTGCCTCAAAACATTCCCAGGGAACATCTAAACCACATTTTAAAATTTATCAAATTGTTTTAGAGAACACCCCGTCCATATGGCGAAACATTTTAACGTTAATACGACTGCATTTCCGAAAAAAAAGTTGGGATGGCATGAAAAAAAGCAAGTATGAAAAGAGAGCAGTGATTTGTGAATAATCTTTGACCTGCTTTATACTGAAAACAGTACAAGACAAAGTATGTTTTACCCTATCAACTTTATTGTTATTTGGACATACACGTTCATTCAAAATTTGACGCCAACAATGTATCCCAACAGAAGGTAGAGGAGGAATATTTAAAAGAGCTGTGTCATGATTACTGCACATGTTCAGAACTTACATCCTAAGAAAGTGAATCTGCCTGACAGCAAGTCGTAATGTGATTCCATCCAATACGTCTTTGTGTTGCATTGTATTTATTTATTTTAGTTACTCCGGCATGGGGCGGCACGGTGGCATAGTGGTTAACACTGTTGCTTCACAGCAAGAAGGTCGTGGGTTCGATTCCAGTCTCGGGCCTTTCTGTGTTGAGTTTACATGTTCTCCCCGTGTTTGCGTGGGTTTTCTCCGGGTACTCTGATTTCCCCCACCCACAAAAACATGCATCATAGGAACACTCCAACCAGTACCCCTGACCAAGGAACTGGCTTCAGAACTGGAGTTGATCCCCGGGTGCTGTTCTGTGGCTGCCCACTGCTCCTAACTATAGGATGGGTCAAATGCAGAGGACAAATTACCCCACGGGGTTCAATAAAGTGTATCTTATCTATCTCATTATGCTTTTTATATTAAGGAGCTTTCTATGGAAATTCAAGGATTCAAAGCGCCATTTTAAGCTTTAGCCAAGAGATATGAAGAATGTAAGCTGGTTGCCACGCCAATAATCATAGAAGAAGAAAAATACCTTCTAGATTTTGACTTGCAGTTGAGCGGATTTACTTTGTTCTAGTTATGAGCGTGCGCAGTCATTGTGCCACAGCTCCTTTAAGTGTTGGAATTGTAGCGTACAGAGTAGATAGCTTAAAGGCCTCAAGTAACTGCCCTTCCCTCTCAGTCCCACAAACGTAAATTCTGTGTTTTGCGGACTGGAATGCTGGGGGTGACCCAAGCCTCATCCCAGACGTACTGGCACCATGGGAGAGCTATTGATCATTTGGGGAGGATTCAGGGGTCTTAAACGTCCCGCCCAGGCCAGACTCAAAGATAAAATCTGATTGACTAATCAGATGCACAAGGGCTGGCGAGGATCCCTCACTCCACCAATCAGGGTCCGAAGGGCCCACGGGAGGTTCCATCAGGTCAGTACCTAAACCGGTCAATAAACTGTCCAGTCGTTGCTCTGATGGTTCTGACCTTTGCCAATACTTCAGGAGATTTAAACAAAGAGGACCTCTTTAAACTTTGTTGCATGCCAGCCTTGCCTGATTACCATGTTTGTGCTGGCCTGCCACAGTCCACAGGATCAAACCATGCAGGTTTGGTACCACTCAAAGAATTGTAGAGAGGAAATTACTCCTCAGCATCTATTTCTTCCGTGGCCCAGACCCAAGTGGGAGTGTTTGCATGAACAATTTGTTCTGAAAGAACTTTGCTCTGACAAACAACCTGCGTACCCAAAACCTGGACCTTGGATCAGCTTTTCTGAACAGATAATATGACTGGCCTTCTTTCCTGCCCTGTTAAGTCCTGAACTGCACTCATTTAACACCAGCATCGAAAAAGTATTCAATTTCATCATTTAAATCGATTACAATTGTAAACAGAGCACTAAATTTCAGGCACTCTTGTGTCGGACAAAATTGGGACTTAGTATAAAAGTATATTCAAACATGGCCATAGATACGTTAAAAACTGACCGGTTTCAACCTGTTTAGGTCTTCATTAGGGTAAAAGTCCTTGAGCACACCACTGCCTCTTTTCGCAAGTTAATTGCAATTGTACTTTGTTATTTTTAGAATTTGCCCGCAGTGTGTACAATTATTTTGAGAACAGATAATGTCTCTTGAATTGTTTAACAGAATTATATGAAACTGATAAATGTTGAAACCACTGTTATAGCAAATGATATTACTAACTAATAATTAAGCAACATCACACAAAAGGGAGTGATGTTGTTGCTGAATAGGCACGAGGCCACAGGCAGAGTGCTGAAGATGTCACAGCCGTGATGATATTCAGCAACAACAGCACAACCTTGAGAGTAATATTGCTTTTATACAACAGATCCACAAATGCTGCTTATTAGTTGACGGCAACGAGCGACAACTGATTCTGATTTCTTTATTTATTTAATCAGTTATGTGGCTCCACCAGCGCAAATAGTTCCACAAATTGATCAGGACTTGACTGTTGCAAAGCAACCCAAACAACAACAAACAGTCAATCAATATGGCAGTCAGTGTAATAAACGGTTATTAAAACACCTGTGAGCGGAGTGATTATAGTTAGAAACAAACAAATGTTAAACCCAAGTCCAGCTTCAATAATTCGGTTTTAGTCGTTACAGCGTGAAACGGAGTGGTCAGCCACACTCTTACTCTTAAAAAGATCTTGAAGCTGTACTCGGGTTAATTGAAAAAGCAAAGCACGAGCAAAAGCAAAGCAAACTGCAGTCGAAGTGAGGAAATCTTTATGAAGAGGGAGGGACAAGTGCGTCCATATTTGACCCCTGAAAAGTTGTGAATGAACATTTATGACCCCTGAGTTCAGAGGGTTGACCCCTGCAAAAAAGTCACAGGAGTCACTGACCCTTGACTGAAAAAAGACAGTGAGAGCCCTGACAGTGGATAATCAGTGGACAGTCCGGTCGGCTGCTATCTCATGGGTGTAGCTCCTGAAAGCCCACTTCTCCCCTTTTTCGCGCATTATTCCACCAATACTGTTGCCATGGCTACCGGAATCCATAGGTATCATAAGTGAAGTATGACACAAGTTCGTACCACATATGAAAGTAATCGGTCAAAAATTGCAGCCTATACTGCGTCCACAAGGAAATCTTAATGTTTTACCACTAATTTGCATATTATTTGGCCAATACTGTCGACATGTCCACACCAAATATGAAAGTAATTAGTAAAAATTACGGCCTGTAGAGCACCCACAAGAAAGTGTCTATGGACACGGCGACGGCGGCAGAGACGATATGCGTGAATCCATAGTAGCCGCCTGACTTCGTCCGGGGGCTACAATTATTATAAGATTCAGAGAATCTGGAGAAATCTCTGCGTAAAGGATGAGGCTGAAAACTGATTCTGAGCGGCCCAGTAGTGTCTCGGTAGTTTCCGAAGCCAGGTTGGAAAAAAAAGCCAGTGACTGTCATTAAATGGGGTTGTCTTAAAGCCCGTGGCATAGATAACTTGAAAATCTGTTTAGGTGAGATTAATGCTGAAGGACCCACAGATAAAAGATGGGTGACAAATTAAAGGAAAAAACCTGAATAAATATGAGTACCAACATAACAAATGCAGATGCTTATGCTCATCTATTTTAGCATGGTTTGGGTCCACTCGTCCCCTTAAAGGAAGGTTCGCTGCACATCAATTCGGATTTACTCTGGGGAATCGCTTTTATATCGTATGATGACACATTTCTGTTCTGATGGGAGTAGTCTCCTCCAGGACGCCAACAGCCCAAGCCTGACAGAGCACAAGGAATCACTGAGTGGTTTTATGACTATAAAAATGAAACCACACATAGTCCACCACCGTCATAGTCACCAGATCTCAAACCAGCTGAATTTACACAAGTTATTATTGAACATGTTGGACAGTGCTATCTGTTACCACTATCAAAACATCAAATGGGGGACAATCTCCTGGAACAAAGGCACTCCATCCCTCCATTGAAGTTTTACAATTGTTGATTGTTTGCCAAGTCGTAGAAGCTCACCTAGCAGCTTGTGGTGGACTAATACCTGTGTAAGAATCGCAGTTGCTTTACAATTAATTTGTCGCCTGTTTATACGAGCATATTAAAGCAACATATTATGCTGTCTTCTAGATGATGACTTCTCAGGAACGACCCCATTTATTTCAACAAGACAACAACTAGGCACACTCTGCATGTAACAACAGACTGACACCCCAATCACCAAGTGTGACTGCTTAACTACCTTCTCTCCAGGCTTGTCTCCTGCTGAAATATGTGGCGCTTTCAGATGCGAAAAATATGACAATTTAGATTGCAAATGTCTGAGCAGTAGAAGATGTGTATCAAGGAGGGTTGGGGGAAAAAAATCTTTCATATCTGGAACAACTGGTGTCTTGAGTTGCCCAACCAGTCTGTTAAAGGTCTGTTGAAAGGAAAGGTGATGTAACATGGAGGTTAGACAGGCCCCGTTCCAACATTTTTGGAGCGCGTTGCAGGCTTGAAATTTGAAATGAGCCTTTATTTACTAAAAAAAAAAAAAAAAAGTAGAGATGGAAAATATCACATAAGCTGTCTTTGCACTGTTTTCAATTTACTGCAGGTCTAAGATGATCTGTAAATCGCCAACTTCATTTTTATTAAGATTTTCCACATCTTTTCCCTACTTTTTTGTTAATGAGGCTGAAGAGCATTCAGTCTACAGCATAAGCCTGATAGGAGCTCAGCACTCCATAAGGCACAGAGCCGTCTACACACCAGGGTCATGAACTTCTGCACACTGCTTTTCTTTTCACCGTGATTAGTGTGCAGTACATCTCTGGCATGTTGTTTGAGGGAATATGACAGCATTTAACCTATAGGTCAGAACTGTGGACACAGGAATGAAGATGTAGAGGCAGTTTATTTAAAATGAGAGGCACTCCTAGAGTGCAAACCTCCGCCAAGGCAGCACAGTCCAAATCTTGGTGAGTGGGAGCAAAGTGCAGTTATCGCATGTGATAGAATTTCAAGATGGCTGCCGTGGCGACCATATTGTTTGACTGATCGCGATGAAAATCAATAGGGTCCATCCCTGATGTAATAGCAACCCACCCACAAAATTTCAGAGATATCCATTCATTACTTTTTGAGTTATCTTGTTCACAAACACACAGACAAACAGACATGCAAACAGACAAACAAACAAATGGCACCGATCACATAACCTCCTGCCAACTTTGTTTGGTGGAGGTAACAAGCCCAGCATGACTTGCAGACCAAAGAGGAATGGAGTCACGTGATTGCCGGTCGGCTCACCTCTGGTTGCCGAACTCAAACTTGCCCGGCCCATTGCGCAGGAGGCTTCCATTAATCCAGGCTGGGATGGTACCGCGGATGGTGGTTTTGATGGGGTTGGGTGTCTCCTCCACTGAACGCACCAGAGGGGCGATACACTGCAGGCCCAATGAACTTCCACTGCTGCGCTGCACCTCCTCAGGACCCAAGCTGCCCACTGTAATGCCGGCTGAGAAAGTAGGACACAAACAAGGAAAGGGGAGGGAGAGAAAGAGAAAGACAGAGAAAGAAAAGAGAGACAGAAAGAGAATAATATGAAGAGAGGACAGACGTCATGCTCTTAAGTGGGTTAAGTACACAACAAAAAGGAATAAAACA